GCTCCTCACCCCCTCATTCATTTCCTGAGCATCTGCGTTCAGGGAGTGCCCTGAGCGACAGCCCCTGTGACGCCCCAGGGGTGAACTGCAGCTCAGACAGAGGCGCCTGCCCTCTCAGAGCCTAACTTCACAGGAGGAGGGGACCCAACCAGTTTGCTGTGCCCAGGGTAACGAGGAGCCATGGGGTGCCACGGAGCGCAGAGTTCACCTGAGGGAAGTGGTGATGCCGCCCCGGATGCTGAGGTCCTCTGTCCTGGCTACACCCCAGCACCCCTGGGGGAGGGCTCAGACCACACCCAGGACAGGCCCCATGCCTGGGGGTGGTCTGACCTCACTGATCTGAGCTCAGGCCAGGCCTGGCGTGGCCTCAAAGCACTCCAGGTGGTCCCGATGTGCAGCCAGGGGACCAGGAGGTGTGACATAGACAGGACAGTGTCACAGACAGAGAGGACCTGAAGGACAACGAGAAAGGGCGGCATCTTCCCGAGGGGCGTCTCCGACCGCCTGTGGCCGGGATGGAGCCTGGCCGCTCCCAGGGTGGATCTGGGCAGGGAAGGCCAGTCTCCTGCTTGACTTTCTGATTTCAGTCTACAGGCCAAGCAACTTGAAAGTGAAGTAAAAAGACATTTTTAAGGGACAGTAAATAGCAATTACAGAGCTTGGCCAAAGCTACCCATCCCTGGGCTTGTTCTCTGCTAGTTTCAAAGCAGCAGATGGCTCACACACGACAGCTTTTAAAACATACGTGCGAACGCTCTCAGCTTAGTTCTAAGGATGCAAACCATTGCCCCAGTGTGATAAAAGGTTATAAAATCCCGCGGCGTGCTGGTGGAGGTGGGGGATGTGCTCCTCTCTGGGAAGCATCCCTGGGCTGAAGTAGCCACCTGTGTGCTTGTGACCCTCCAACACACACACACACACACATGCGCGCTTCCTGCAACCAGGAGACTCCATGAAAAACTCAGTGTGTTTCCCAGAACGAGGGTGCAGAGGCTGGGGTGGAGGGTCCCTGGATACCCTGTGCTCTGTCTCCCTGGCCACGTAAGGAGAATGCTAGTGCGTTTCTCTCTCCAACCCTTCTGACTACGTCCAAGGGAGCATCTTGGGCACCAAGACGTCTTTAGTACCTAAGACTTCTAAGACGTTCTTTTTTTTTGGAGAAGTTTTTGCTATAGGGCGCATGCGCTCGCCAGACAGACAGAGAGAGACATAGAGACAGAAATTGAGAAATCACCCCCTGGGGGGATGACCATGCCGCAATCCCTTCTCCTCTATTCTCCTCTCAGGATCTTGGGCACGCATGCACACATGCCTGGTGTGAGTTTAAGCCACCGGGTCCAGGACTCGAATCGACTACATGGAAGTCCAGCAACATAGCCATTACGCCACCTGCTGGTCCCGTCAGGGTTCAGTTTTTGAGGTGATCTATGCATGCCAGGAGCATGCGCACGTGCCTGGCTGTCTGAGAGGCTGGGTGGAGGATTGTGACGTGAGGCTATGTAGATGGTACTTTCTCTCTCTCTCTCTCTCGTGAAATAAACTAAAAAACCAACAAGAGTGAGTTGATGGAAATAAACCAAAAAATGATCTTGTGAACCTTAAACTGAGGTGGTACTGGGGACATGCTGGGGAGAGGAGGAGACACAGCTCGGAGGCAGACAGGCCTGGGTTCAGGCCTGCCTCCTTTGCTCGCTGGCGGGGCCCGACCTCTGCACTGAGCAGCCTGGCCATGAGGGTGGGAGGAGGTTACCTGGTATGGGGGGGGGGTCAGTTCTCCAGGCCTGCAGAGCCCTCAAGGGAGTCAGCCTGACCCACCCGGGGCTCCTTCCAGGTACAGCCGGGAGGGCAGCATTACTGCTCAGTGGGCACAGCTATGGGTTTAGGGACAGGCTGGGCAGGTCCCAGTTTGGTGCTGCCAGTCTGAGCTGTGTGATCTTGGGCCTGAGTCTCAGCGTTCTCGTCTGTGAGACAAGGCTGACATGGGGACCTCTCCCACGCCTGTTTGCCTCATTAAGTGAGGTAAGGAGAATAAGATGCTTAGCAAAGTACCTGGCACGTGGTGTGCACTGAGTAAACGGAGCCATCAAAATGGAATTGAATCGAATTTGGTTTCATTTAAGTTAATTAAGCCATGAAGTCAGTAAGTTCTGGAGCCAGAAGCCTCCGCCACCTCCTGTCAGGCCTGACCTTGGCAGCGTCACCCGAATGAGAACAACGTCCGGCCTGGCGGCCATTTTCTCTGTGACACAGAGCTGTCCAACTTCGGAGTATTGTGTACGAATCCTGCCACCGGCCTGTAGGCGAGGACAGGTGTTGTCAAAGAGCGTGTCCGGGGGAGGTATTTAAGTGTACCGACAGGTGAGAATAGCCATAAAAGGGAGTGGGGGCCTGGCTGGCTCCCACCTGGACAGTCCTTGAAAACATCGTGCCGGGTGAAAGAAGCCGGTCCTGGAAGACCACAGATCGTGTGATTCCGTGCACATAGCGCGTGTGGAGGGTGGGAATTTGGACGTTGCCTAGGGCGGGGAGAGGAAGGGATCAGGAGGTGACGGCTGAGGGTACAGGCTTTCTTTCTCAGTGAAATGGGACCCTGGGTCGGATCCTAGGTCCACTTAAACATGCCAGCTGCACCTGTGCACACCCTGGACCCTGGCTGGGAGGTTAGGGAAAGGATTAAAGAAGCAAGACTCTCCAAGGGTCCCTGTCTCCTCTCTCTTTCTCTGTCTCTCATGGAATAAATAAGTAAAAGAAACTTTATTATTAAAATTTGTTTTAGAGAGAGAGATTGTTGCTATAGGGCACAGAGAGACAGAAAGTGAGAATCACCCCAGGATGTGGGGAGATGGCCATGCTGCAATCCCTTCTCCTCCATTCTCCTCTTGGGATCTTGGGCATGCATGCACACATACCCAAATGTGAGTTTTAAGTCGCTGGGTCTGGGACTCGAACTACAATCGTCTATGTGGGAGTCCAGCGATGTAGCCATTACACCATCTGCTGGTCCCAAAGTAAGCTTCTTAAAAAAACAAAACAGGGCTGAACCTGTGGCACAACGGCTAAGCACTGCACACAGGGGGCTGAATCCCATGTGGCTGAACATGGTTTAAGCCCCGACTCCAGCAGCTCCGGGCACATGTGCATGCGTGTCCCGAATCCTGGTGGAGTGAAGAGAGGACAGGTACTGTGCTCCGGCCGCCCCCCCACCCCCTCTCTGATGAGCACATGCACTCTCTGGCATTACAAAAAAAAAAAGTGAGAAAGAGAAAACACAACCAAAACTATGTTCACAACATCATGTCCTTCAGTGAGGGGATGTGGTCTGAGAAATACGTTAGAAATATGTTAGACGATTCCATGGTTGTGTGAGCATCGCAGCCTGCCACACACCCAGGCTACACAGTGTGACGTTACAAGCGGCTGGCGTCTGCGCCCTCCGGCACCGTCTGACGGGTTAGGCAGTCTGTGACTCTCTGGGTGCACATGTGTGCAGGAGCTTCAAGGTTTATGGAAAATGCATCATGAAAAACTGAGTCATGACATTTATTTTGCACCATCATAAGCTCACTTTTTTTTTTTTTTTGGAAGAGGTTTTTCTATAGGGTGCATGTGCTCGACAGACAGACAGAGAGAGACAGAGAGATAGAAAGCGAGAAATCACCCCCCAGGGGGGATAGTCATGCCGCAATCCCTTCTCCTCCATTCTCCTCTCGGGATCTTGGGCACACACGCACATGCGTCCGGCATGAGTTTAAGCCACCGGGTCTGGGATTCGAACCGCGGTCGACTACATGGGAGTCTAGCGACATAGCCATTACGCTAACTGCTGGTCCCATAAACTCACTTTTTAGGTTGGTTTTTGTCTTTAGAACTTTGCCATAGAGTGCATACTACTTGCCAGAGAGAGGCAGGAGGGAAAGTGAGGAATCACCCTGAGAGGGAAGGCCACACTGCAGCCTTTCCCTTCCATTCTTTCTCGGGATTTTGGGAATGCATGCACATTTTCCAATCTGCTGGATCCGAGAGTTGAACTGTGGAGTCAGCCATGTGGGATCCAGCACCTTAACCACCATGCTACCTGCTGGCCCCCAATAAACTCATACTTTAATTCTGTTTTTATATGAACATTTTAAAAATACTCGTTTTTATAATACTCATATAAATACACACACATATAAAATGTAAGAGAGAAGCCTTACACATCCGTCTCAGATGATCATTTTTAGTTATGGGGCTTGTTTTTTCCTTCTTTCGTTTTCACTTCTCTATGTTTTCTGGTTTCTACATTGGACACAGATCACTTCCAGAAAGATGATGAAAAACTGTTTTCTATTTTTGCTTAAGAACAGTCAGGCCAAAGGATCAGCAGTTAGCATAATGGCTATGTCGCTGGACTCCCACATAGTCGACTGCGGTTCGAGTCCTGGACCTGGTGGCTTAAACTCACGCTGGGCATGTGTGCGTGTGTACCCAAGATCCCGAGAGGAGAATGGAGAAGGAATGGCGGCGTGGTCATCCCCCTTAGGGGGTGATTTCTTGCTTTCTATCTCTCTGTCTCTCTCTGTCTGTCTGGCAAGCGCACGCGCCCTATAGCAAAAACCTCTCCAAAAAAATGAACAGTCAGGCCGAGAGTCCCATGGTTTAGTGGTTAGGGGAACCAGGCCCCATATGGCCAATCTCCCAGTTTGAGCCCCAGTCCTGGCAGCTTGAAACACACACCAGACACATACAGTACGTGACTCAAACCCCGAATGGGATGGAGAAATGGAGGTGGTTGTGAGTTGCCACGTCCCAGCGGAGGTGCTTCCTCCCTCTCTCTGACCACGCCCCCGTGGTGGTGCTTCCTCCCTCTCTCTGCCTCTCTCTCTGGGAAGTGCATGTGCTCTCTGGAAATAAACATAAGCTCATCCTGGATCGTACTGCCAATCACACAAGTGTAAAGCAGCTCCCTGCCTGGGCTCGGGGCCTTGCACAGACTTAGGGGCCCTCGCTGGAGCCCTTACCTTGTCCACGCTGAGGGGCACTGCAAACCTCTTCAGGGCCGGGACCGAGGCGAGCTTGGCGCTTTCCTTGAAGTCCTGCTTCAGGCTGGCCATGTAGAAGAGCTGGTAGAGGCTGCTGTCCTCGTAGGCAACGACATCAAAGAGGATGCAGCCATCCTCCTCGTGCGCGTTGACGTGATGAAAGACCACCATGGCGTCCGTGTAGAACTTGCCTGGCACGGGCTTTCTGGTCCTCTGGTCGACGACGTGAATGTACGTCTGAAAGCAGCAGCCCCACAGGGTCAGCGCCCCAGTAGCCTGGCCCTGAGCGTCTCGGGGTGGGGTGAAGGCAGCCCTTCCAGGCACCGGCTCGTGACCAGGGGTGTCCCTGCGCACTGTGTGCTCTGGGGCACTCAGAAGGGGCAGTCAGGGAGCAGCACTCGGTAAACGGGAGTCACTGATCGTTGTGTCTCCGTGGTCACATCTTTAAGATGGAGAGGACAGAAGCTTTGCTGCCAGGGCCTCTGTGGCCACCAGGAGGATGGAGTCTGGGGAGGCTCCCTTTGTCCCATTGACTATGGCTCCATGAGTGGTAACACACCAGCTCTTAGCAATGACCAAGTCAGGGAACCTTCCAGGCTCTATCCAAGGCTGGAGCCCCTAACGTTTTCAAACCCATGTTCTTCTGGGTCTCCTCAACCACTGCAGAAGCTGCTCCTCACTTTCTCCTGTTTGCCCAGAGGTGCTTGTCACCTACGCACTGGCAGGTGCAGGTGGCATGACCCCAGTTCCAGCTAAGGAGCCCACCCACGAGGGCGTCTCAGCTCCCAGGGTCCTGACGCAGCTCTCTGGGTGTCTCCCCGGTAACTGGCCCCCTCTGCAGTGGAGATGCTGATGCAAGGGGGTGGGTTCTTTCTTTCCGGCCTAACTGCCTCCTTTGGAAAGGCAGGGCCCCCTCTGGGCAGTTCTCCCCACCTCCTGCAGCCTGGTTTGCTTCCTCCTCATCTCGCGCAGTCAGTTTTGCATGTTGAGAGGGAAGAACAGGAAGGCTTCAGTGGTAGGGTGTGGGGTCAGGATGAGGAGACGAAGATGGGGCGATTGCTTGAGGCCTTTCTCCCCCATGACCCCAACTCCTGGGCCAGCCACCTGGACTTTTCAGAATGCTCTCTTCCAAGTGTCCCACCCGACCATGTGGTTTCTAGCTCTTGTCACACTCTGGGGCCAGGGCATCCCCAGGGCCCTCAGTCCAGAGGCCTGGAGACCACTGCCCCTACATGGCGCGCTCCCAAGCTCCTGGGCCACACCTGGGGAGCTACTGCAGGGGCAAGCTTCCTGGTGGGTTCCTTGTGCATCCCACAGGTGTCCCCTGAGCACCGACTACATCAGGCACTTTGAGAACTGGAGTGAACAGATGACACTAAGCCCCTGCTTTCATGGCGTTCATCTGCTGGGGGTGGTGAGGCCAACAGTCAATCTCAGGACCAGTCATGTCAGGGCCATGGGTGCTCCTGAGGAAAATGAGGCAGGAGCGGGTGAAGAAGCCCTGGTGGGGCCTACCGCACACAGGGCCACCAAGGAGGGCCCCAGAGTTCAGGGACCTTGAGCCGAGGCCCAGATCATTGAGGGAGGAGGCCCTCTGGGTGGAGAGCACAGAAAACGCAGAAGCCCTGAGGCAGGAACCTGGCCTTGAGGTCCAGGAGGAGGCGTGGGGAGAGCAGGAAGTGGGACGGTGGGACGAGGGCGTGCAGCCCCTCGAGGCTGGCGAACGAAGCCTTTGGCTCTTACTCGGAGGAAGGTGGGAACTCTCTAGAACATTCTGAGCAGAGGAGAGACTTCAACCACTTCAGTCTCCTCTCTGAGAAGAGAGAAGATTGGCCTTAAAGAAAGTGGCCAGCCACAGGTGGGGCAAATATTTGTACATGTATGTAAAAGTGTATGCAGTGAACAGAAGTGGGGTCGAAGGATGTCAAAAGGACAGTGGCTCCCTCCAGGGAAGGGGCAGACAGGGAGGAGGGGGAGAGAGGCGGCGAGCAGGGGGGTGGCAAGGGGACTCCTATGGGATGCCTATGTCTGTGTCCTTTTAAATAGACAGCACTGGAAGTTACTTAGTGTTTTTCAAAAGTAAATTAACACAAGTAAGTAAATCTACACACATGCACACATATATTCATACATACCCATGCACACACCTGCACATACATACACATGTTTGCACATGCATGCACACATGGAGCCTGAACTGAAGGAGGCGTTCTATCAGACCATCTGATGGGACAAATGCCCTGTCATTGTGATGTCTATGGAACCCCTGGCACCTTCCCTCACATCGCCAGGGCTCACAGAGAGGCAGAAGAGTTCTTGCCAATGGATGGTGGAGGCTGAGAGGAGCCCGGCCATCCCTTGGGACTAAGGACTTGGTCCCTTTGCTGCTGGGAGTGCGGGGACTGCCTTGCTGGTCCGAGGATGGTCTCCGTCCAGTGACTTAGTCACTCGGGGCTCTAAAGGCCCGGCCCCCTTGTCCTGCCTTGGGCCCACTCTGCAGGACCACCCATGCTTTGGAACCCTCTGAAAGCCCGGCAGATGCTTCCAGGGAGACTGCAGCGTCCTCCCCCAGCCCCGTCCCCCCCACGTCTGGCTTGTCTGCATCCTTCTTTTCAGCCTGCTTGCCTTCCTTCCTTCCATCCATCCCCTGCCCGCTAATCTCCCAACAGCATCTGCTCCTATGGTTGGGCTCCTCTCTGCAACCAGCCTCACCTTGTCCTCACTGTTGAAAGACAGGCAGGAGGCCCAGCTCACTCCCCGGACGTACGCGGTTGCCATCTTGAGAATGTCCAACCTGAAAGGCTGCTCCAGGAACACGACGTAGTTCTCGGTGATTCCGAAGCTGTGGTAGTAGCTCGGGGACAGGAGGGAGTGCGCAGGGATGGAGCAGAACACCTCTGTGTGCTTCAAGGGGCTCTTCCCCTTCTTCTTGGCCTCTAGGGGAAGGCAAGCCTTGGGAACCAATCATAGGCTCAGGCAGCCCCAGACGACACCAACACCACGGCCACCTGCTGCCTGGCACAGGTGCTAAAAGCAGCCTCGAAGTGAGAGCCCACAGCAGACTGGACGGAGGCTGACCAGAGCTGTGGCCGATGCGGGCACAGCGGCTGAGACCCACCCATCAGGCCTGCCTGGTGAGCCCCGGTTCTGCATTCTGAAAAGCACTGAACGGGAGGGAGACCTTGAGGCGGGAGCAGGCCACACTTTTGTACAGATGATCGTACCTGGAGCATGGTCATGCTCACCCCATCTGCCTCATCTGAGGCCATCTGCCTTGGTACGAGGTCACAGGAAGAGCCGAGCCTTATGACAGGGACCAGGTGGTCCCTGGAGCCTTAAATATCTACTCTCTGGCCCCTTTCCAGAGGATGCATGCTGCCCCCTGCTCTGGAGCAGCGCTCCGCAGATTTCGGGGTGGATAGGGGTCATCTGTGGGTCACAAGGAAGCATGGAGCTTCCCTGCATCCTAGGTGGGGCTGACACTCTGCACTTCTACGAGCCCCCAGGCACCGGCCGTTTCCAGACTTCACTCCGGTGTTCTGCTGGGAACCAACCTGCGGCGTGGGCTTCCCAGGGCTTCCACACATCCCTCTTGGCACTGCCTATTCCAACACACTTTGGGGTGGGACTCTGTCCCCACCACGATGAGTACCCTTACACGTATTGTGACCTCAGGTTAGAGTGGAGGAAGCCCACTTTACAGGTGGGGAACTGAGGCCTGGTGGAATGGTCTGGTGTTCTGGTCACAGTCACAGGGTAAGCCAAGCAAACGCAGTCCCTCAGGCTTCGCTTCCTCCTTGCCATTAGGGATCATAACACCCGCGGAGAGAAGGTCGAGAAGAGAATGAAATAATGCAGCAGTCCTAGTTCCTTGCTGGAGCCCAGACGCCAAAGGTGCTCAGAACATGTTTGGTTTTCTTATTCCTCTGCAAAGATGAGTCACTCACTGGCCCAAGGCCTCCCCGCCCAGACCCGGGGCTGCTATATAATGAGTTACCTGCGAACGTCCCCACCTCTCTGTGGCCACCTGTGCACACTGAAGAGCTGGCAGGTGGGAGGGGAGCTGTGGGCTTGTGGGCTCATTCTTTTCTTCATAAAACAAATGCAGCACAATGCTAGCCGAAGTGAAAAGCACCCTGGCTTGGGAGGCCTGAGAGGGGGCAGGCCACCAGCACCGCCCGGGCCCCAGGTGCTGCTGGCTTGCTGTCAGAGGTTCCTGACTGTGGGCAGGTTACCTGATCCCCCAGGGCTGCACGGTCCTCTGTGATAGGGGAGGCTCAAATGCCTAGGCGATCCCCAGGTCTGATGTTCTAGGATTCCGAGCTCAAAGCCTATAATAATCCTTTATTGGCTTAATTAATAGGAATTCCATTTAATAAGAACACTCATTGTACCTCTGACCTCAGGGGCTCATATCCCCTGGCACAGCCTGGTAATTTGCCCAGGAAGTTCTACAGGACTATGGGGGTGGGGAGGACCAGCAGGGATCACAGGTGGAAGCCAGAAGGTCTGGCCCCACCCTCCGGGTTCTGCACCATCTCTTAAGTCCTACACAGCTGTCCTTAGAGGCCTGGTCTCCTGGTGCGTTTCCCAGGAGGGTCTTGAACAAACATGGGCTAGCAGCCTTGCCCTCCTCCCCCTCAGAAACATGGAATCACAGTAGGCCTGGGCTTTGTTCCAAGATTCTGGCCCTAAATGGAGAAGGTCCAGAAGGGCCAGATAACAGGGTGGGGATCTGGAGTAGATTCCAGCAGGGTGGAGCTCCATGAACAGCCCCAAGAGCCTGGCTGCAGGGGCTGGGGATGAAAGCGGTGACACAAGGCTGGCATAGAAGGCTTGTCAAAATACTGACATGATGGATAGATAAAAGGATAGATGGACAGATGGATGAATACATGGATGGATGGATGGTAGATAGGTGAAAAGATAGATGGATGGGTGGATGAATATCGATGAATAGATGGGTAGATGAACAGGTGGGTGGGTGGATGGATGGATGAGTAGATGAATGGGTGAGTGGGGAGTGGATGGATGGATGGATGGGTGGGTAGGTAGATGGGTGGGTGGATGGATGGACGAATGAGTAGATGAATAAGTGAATAGATGGATGAGTGGAAGTATGAATGAATGGATAGGAAGATGAATGAGTAAGTGGGTGGGTGGGTGGATGAGTGGATGGATGGGTAAATGGATGGATGGGTAGGTGAATGGGTAGGTAAGTGGATGGATGGGTGGATAGGTGGATGGATGGATGGATGAGTAGATGAATAGGTGGGTGGATGGATGGATAGATGGGTAGATGAATGGGGGTGAGTGGGTGGGTATGTGGCTCAATTAATGATTACTAAACCGGAGCCTAAAGAAAAGAAGTTTAGAACAGTAAAGGGATTCCCTTTTCCCCAAAAGAATCCCAACTCCTCTCTCCTCAAGGAGAAAGCTGAGTTCATGGTCATCTGAATCATGTGCAGGAGGAAGCATTGCACTGAACCTCGTGCCCTCAACAACAATCACGTCTTCAGAGGAACCACGCTTGGCTGCGGGTGCTTCGTCGTAGCCCCAGAACGACCTACCTGGCCCCATGGCGGGGATCTTAAACATCACGTACTTCGTCTTCCCCTTGTCCACGATGGACGTGCCCATGTTGAGAATGTTTCCAGCAGCGTCATAATGAGGATGCGCAGTTGCCAGATTTATAGCCACATATTTACGATAATCGACCTGCAAAAGTGACAGCCGCCTGGTTTTTAAAAAGTGCAAGGGTAAAATCCTGTGAAAACCCGATTGATTCTAGGGTCAGGGGAGTGACGGATAGTTCTGTGTATTTCCCAGTCTGAAGGTAAGACAGAATTGGTCTTTAAGAGGATGTTTGCTCTTGGGGCCAGAGGCAGCATGGCAGTCACAGCAGCTGGACCCCCAAATGGCTGACTGCGGCTCAAGCCCTGGACCTGACAGCTGAAAATCATGCTGGGCACGTGTGCAAGCATGCCCTGAATTCCAGGAGGAGATTGAGGGAGAAGGGATCGTGGTGCGGCCACCTCTCAAGGGATGATTTTTTACTTCCTGATTCTCTGTCTCTGTCTCTCCTGCAAATGTGTGTGCCCTGTAGCAAAAACTTCTCTCTCAAAAAGAAAGAGGACAGGACCAGCAGTTTGCGTAATGGCTATGTCGCTGGACTCCCATGGAGTTGACCATGGTTCGAATCCTGGACCCGGTGGCTTAAACTCATGCTGGGTGTGAGTACGTTTATGCCCAAGATCCCTAGAGTAGAATGGAGGAGAAGGGATTACAGCATGGCCATCCCCCCTGGGGGGTGATTTCTCATTTTCTGTCTTTGTCTCTCTGTATCTTTCTGGCAAACACACGTGCCCTATAGCAAAAACCTGTCAAAAAAAAAAAAAAAAAAGGAGAGAACGTTTACTCTTTGACCTGCTGCAACCTCACAGGGAGGCGGGTACAGGGGACTTAGCAAGCTGGAATGTGTTCTGTGGCTGTTCCCATCCTGCTCCCTGGCCCTGCCAGTGTCCTCAGCACTGAGAGGGGATGCCTCACCACAGCAGGCCTCTGAGCAGTGACCCCGGGGAAGAGGTGGCCTTCGAGCTGATCTTGGCCACTGCTCTGTACCATTCTGATGAGGTCACTTGCATTCTGCCTTTGCATTCCGCAGGGGCATCAATCTCCACACCTCCCTCATAGCATGGTTCTGGGAGTGGAGAGGTTATAGAAACACTGGGTCAGAGCGAAATACGACTAACAGCTGAATAACAACCCCCCGCTCTGACGGGCCACAGTGCGGAACAATGAAGGTGAACAATTGCCCCCACCTTCCTCCCCTAGAATAGCACAACCTTCAGCCGAGTCCAGTAAAGCTCTGTTCTCTCCCAGGGTTCCTTCTCTGGAGCTGTGGGAACGTGGATATCAGTTGGCCACTTGCCACCTTGCTTAAAAGGAGCTGGGCACAACTTCACAGCTAAGAAAAGCACTCCTTCAACAGATCGTTAAACGTACTGCGAAGACAGTGGGGCTGTGGACAGCCGGCTGGAGAAGACTGAAAGTGGGTCTATTGATCGTGACAAAAATGCTGCTGTGGTTCTTCCCAGGAAAGGAATCTGCCTGGTGTTTATTTCTGGGCCCTCGCTCTCGGCCTAATGCCTCCCTCTTCAGGTCAGTACAAGGAAGGGCTGCGGAAGTCATGGGTGTTCCAACACGTGACCAGACTGAGCTCCTTCCCTGGGCCAGGAGCTACGGCCACGGTTAGGAGTTGAATTGTGTCTTCAAAAACTGGGACCTGTGCATGTGACCCCATTTGGAAACAGGGTCTCTGCAGATGGAATTTAGTTGAGGTCGTAAGAAGTCAGAGGACCTGAATCTTTATACAGGTGGGGAATTTGGACGTGCAGGTGATGGCAGAGGCAAAGGTTGGAATGATCCGTCTACAGGCTGTGGCCCAGCAAGGATTACTGGCTACGTAAGCTGCTGGGAAGAGGAGAGTAGAGAGTCTGCCCAGGAGCCTTCAGGGAGAGCCTGGCCCTGCTAATGCTTGCTTTTAGACTTCTGGCCTCTAGAACTGTGAGAGAATAACTTTCTGTCATTCTAAGCCACCAAACTCTCTGTGCTGTTATAGCAGCCACAGGAACTGGACACGGATACGAAAATAGACACGACACAGTCCCTGCTCCCGGGGAGCTTAGAATCTGGCACAACGTGTTGTGCTGGGGGAGCCCAGGACCCAGTGGCATGAGAGGGGTGTCCCTCAGGCCCTTGCAGACTCTCCCCAGGGTGCCCAACTCTCCGTTCTTGAGCTCGGAGAGACGCTATTGCCGACTCGCTGGTACCTTCTCCAAGGTCTCCAGGGTCTGCGGGTTGATTTTCCTCATGTAATTGGTCTCTGTAGTGGCATAGAAGTCTTCACCACACTTCATGATGTTGATCAGGCAGTTGTCCGTGAAATCGGGGATGGTGTGTGACAGGTAGGTGAAAGCTCTGGAGACAGAAGCAAACGTCCAGGGTTGAGAGCTGCGTCCACCCAGCCGGAGAGCCTCCATGGCTTCAGTTTCCCTTCCGCTTCAAATGCTTCAACTCAGCGGTCAAAGGTGTGGCTCTCCATGGCTCACTTGAGGAACCCTGAAGTATCAGTTCCCCAAAGACACCACCGCATGGAGGCAGGTAAGAGATGTCAGCTGAGACAACAGGGCCACCAGCTGATCCCTCCTGAGCTCTCAGAAATGCAAAAATTGAGTCAGCCAGTGGTGTGGTGGTTCAGTCACGGGATCCCACATGGCCAGCTGCAAAGTTTGAGTCCAGGACCTGGCAACTTAAAAACCACACATGGGGGCCAGCAGATGGCATAATGGTTATGTCGCTGGACTCCCACATAGTCGACCATGGTTTGAGTCACAGACCCGGCTGCTTCAGCTCATGCCGCATATATGTATGTGTGTGCCCAGGATCCCAAAAGGAGAGTGGAGAAGAGATTGCAATGTGGCCATACTCCCTGGGAAGTGATTTCTCACTTTCTGTCTCTCTGTTTCCCTCTTTCTGCATGTTCCCTATAGCAAACATCTCTCTAAAAATAAAAACCACACATGAGGCCAGCAGATGGCATAGTGGTTACGTCATTGAACTCCCACATGACCGACTACGGTTCTAGTCCTGGACTCGATGGCTTCAAATTTATGCTAGGCAGGTGTGCATGCATGCACGGATAAGATCCCAGGGGGAGAACAGAGGAGAAGACATTGTGGCGTGGCCATCCTCCCTGGAGGTGACTTCTCACTTTCTGTCTCTCTGTCTCTCAGGTGAGTGCACATTCCCTATAGCAAACATCTCTCAAAAACAAACAAGCAAAACACACACCTGGAACGTATGCATGTATGTGTCCAAAATCCTGAACGGAGGGAGAAATGGAGGAGAAGGGATTGCAGTACTGCCATTCTCCCATGAAGGGTGCTTTCCCACTTTCTCTCTCTCTGGTGGGTACATAATAATAAAATAAAATCCAAAGGTTTCCAGCTCTAGAGTCATCAAGAGCTGAGGGATTATTCTGAAGTATTTCAAGAAACTAAAAAATAAGAAAATAAATCAAATACTATCTGTAATGGCCCCCCAAACCTAGCAAAACATTCCTGCCTTGATAGAAAAGTGATTATTTCAAATTTGTCTGGAAAGTTAGATTTTTTTAAAAAGGATAGTGCATATAGTTCATTTGGCCAGAGGCACCTTCAGAGCGGGGCCGGGTGAGAGAAACCCAAGGCGTTTATTGATGGTGCATTTGCCAGATCCCACCCTGGAGCTGCGGACAGTACTGGGCAGTGCTCCCCCTACTGACCGACGGTGTAAGCGCAAGGACGCACCGCAGCGTGCGGTCTTGAGTAATTCCCCGCCCCTTTCCCACCAGCTCCTCCCCCCTCCGCCTGTGAATACAGAGCCTGCTCGGGTCGCCCTGGGCTGGATCCTGGAACTGGAAAGATGATGTCACTTCTGGAAAAGCAGAAGCAATCTTTTATCTCTGGGCCAGTCCATCCCTAACCCTTCTATGTCTAAGAGCATCAGAAAGAAGATGCTGACAGCCCTGCTCCCTGGCCGAGAACTTGTCAAATGCATAGGAGCGCACAGGCGCATAACGCTGCTACTTTAAGATGCATGCAGCCCAGGCTGCCCCCAGCCCGTCCTTGCTCCCCATTTGCTGGCAGGAAAAACACATTGAGATTCCCTCCTGCTTTTTGGTAATTCCAAAGTGCTTTCCCAGCAGCTGTGAGGGAGAGTACGCTCTACTCTGTCGGCTGGTCTCTGCCTCTCCCGCCGGCCGCGGTGGGGGACCGCC